TTACTAAACTCCAAATATGGGCACAAGGCATTAGGAAAAACTCTAAATCTTAAATGGGAACATAGGTGGACTATTCTTAGGTTCCGATTGTAATGTAATGGATTACAGTAATATCATTTTCAATATGGTTCCCCATGTTTTAATGTTTGATTGGCCTTTCCTCCCTATTTTTGTGGGAAATTTTGTATACACAAAATTATAAAATAACAAAGCTTCATAGTTTAGCAAACCCACTTCGAGTTAGACTACTCATAGTGGGAGTAACATAGGTAGTAGCATGCATGCCACATAGGTAAAAAAAAGATAACATGCCTAGTAATTAAAGATGAGAACACATATGAACTAACATAATATGTTACGATCACATAGCGTTTCCCAATAAAAATGACTATAAGGTAATAATAAACTAAAGTATCTACGTTATCACACTTATGACACTACCCACTATACCTAAGTACTACCTTCGTCCTGGTTTATTGGTCCTATTTGTATTTGTGCCAAAATTTGACCATAGACCTAACTTATAAAATTTTAATGCATGTCATCAAAAATTATATCGTTGGATTCGTATTTGAACATAGTTTCTAATGATACTATTTTTTGTGACATGCACTAACATTTTGTTAATTAAACCCATGGTCAAAGTTTGGCATAAAATACTACGGGGACCAATAAATCAGGACGGAGGTAGTAGTAACATACTAGCCACCATGACCAACCTTAGTGTAACAGTAGATTAAGGTATCATCTGCCTATGTTGTGGGGCTAATTAAATAACTTCCTATTTTCATACCTAATTCTCCCACCATTTGATAGACTAATAGATTCATCCCAACGTGCTCAACAAGTTGAGTCCTAACTAGGCTTAGTTGACTAAGATTACTGGGACCCTGACTTCACGGGACTTTATGGCTTATAGTAAACTTCAAAAGTGCCTAATTTCATTTGCTTTGGTATTTTTGCTAGTATTTTGATTGAGTGGATATATATATATATATATATATATATATATATATATATATATATATATATATATATATATACATATGCAATTGCTCCCTTCGAATTAAAGTCTTGCTCACTACACCGACACGTCTAAAGTAGTGTGCTAAAACGCCATACATATGCAGTCCTCATTGATTGTCCGAACCTGTAAGATGAACAGTAGAGAGCCGCAATCTGGGATGACACGCTATGTACCATTTGGTGATAATTCGACATGCCCCACGCCAATCGGGCCGCTCGACCGGTGGCGCGTTCAATGTGCTCCGCCGTATCTTGACATGTACACGTACCTGTAGCTCCATACGGACCATCACGACGCATGCAGTGCCCCCAGACCGAAGCAATCCGAGCTGTCCATGCATGCATGATTATAACCCGCCACCAGTGCATGCAGTTCCGTCTCTCCCGCCTAAAATAAACCAGCAGGACGACAAACGCCGCACTGCCCGCGTTTCACAAGCCGCTCGTCCGCGCGCGCCACTGTTGATGCACCATGCAGAGCCAGCCAGGAGCACGCCTGCAATCAGAGTCCAGCCCTGGGATACATGCCACTGCTCGATCAACAGGGTTAAATAAAACGGAGCCAGCAGCTCACATGCACGCATGAGTGCGTGCATGGTGAAGATTGATGCTTTTGTTTTTGGACCGCGTACGTCGCGTTGCACCGCGCGTATGCACGCATGATTGGGACAAGGATGGCGTCCACTGACGTACGGGCCCCTTCCCCTTTTGGGTTCTTCCTCCTGTCCCTGCCCCCAACCAGCTCCCCTGAGAGCGAGAGCAATTCCAAGCGCGACGCGTTCGATCTCACAGGTGGCACGGCAGGCACACGTAAACGTCGCCGGTAAAGCGATGTGCGCCGTACTGCCGTCGCTTCTGATGTTCGTATCGAACGGAGAGAGAGCTGTGACGCACTTCGCCTCCTTAATTATGTTTACTTAACTACTATACTTGCTCGGTCGACAATCATTTCCCGTGAGATCTACGCGTCTAATAAGCTCTTCGACGCTTCGATCCGAACAAGCAGAGGAGCGACCCACACGTGGCCGGCGGCAGGGCGTTCGCCGGAGCGGGTCAAGGAGGACCAGCTCAGCTCGGCGGCGCACCCGGCCGGCCGGCTCCACCCTCACATGACACGGCAACGATTCCTGGCGTCGCCTTCACAGTTTGAACGGGGCCGGGCCGGGCACCGAACCAGCTGGTCCACAGGTGCAGGGTGGTACCGGCGGCGCTCCATCAGACCAGTAGTGGCGCCGTCTAATTTGTTGTTAGTGGTAGTGGTACAATTAGGCGTCCATAAGCTCAAGGACTAAGGAGGGTGTCGCGTGCAGATCCCAGTAGGTGAGCTGTTGTATTGGCGGGTGCTGTAGCATGCAGTCGGTTGCCCCGTCCTTGTGCTTGGTCACTCGCTTTCCCGGGCTTTGGCACGTTGATTTGCTAATCAGAGGAGACAAAGATGGACTTGCCAAGTGACAATGTCTGGGAAGAGTGCACAATCTGCCCAAAGATTCGTTGCCCCGGACCATCTTGTCTCGAGCAATGCTAATCATACCAGACTCGGTATCTCAGAGGTGCTCGTAGGGTAGGGTTATATGTATGCGTACGCGTTTATAAGGGTGAGTATATGTGCATGTATGTTGGTGTCCATAACTTACTGTGTTCAGAGTAGGTGAAAGATAATGGGGAAGAGGACACATCAACATGTAGATTTAGTTTGTAACAAAATTGGCCGTAAGCCTAAGAGCATCTCTAGGGAATTCCCTGTTCTAGAAGTTTAAAACTCATTCCCTATATTAAAAAGTCAAAAGAAAAATAAACGTTTTCTCAGCTAGCAGATCGCCTAAAACTTAACCCCTTAAAAATATGCACTTTCACCTTCATCCAACCGCTTCCAAACTTACCACAACATGTTAGTGCAATACATAAGAGTTGAAGAACACACAATTCAACTAGATAGCAATTTTTTTAATATTCTCAAACATAACCATACAAATTCAAATACAACAGACGGTCCAATTGAACTAAAAATCCAAATAAACATGATAAAAAAAGCACAAGAATCAAGTGTTGTGAAGGCAAAAATGGTGGTCACTACTCGATAAGATATTTTTGAAGTCAGTTGTGAGTTTGATGGTTCTCGATCCATCGGGGTTCTTGGAGGAAGGCTTCGATTATGTTTGGCTTATGTTCTTGCTCCACTGGGTGTCTATTAAAGAGATACCAAAGTCATGGCAGTCCTTTCTCTCATCCTTGATGATCATGTTGTGCAAGGTAAAACATGTTGTCATGATGTTCTACAAGGTCTCAGGCTTCCAATACTCAGAAGGTCCACGGACAATCACAATGCATCGTTGAAGCACAACAACGGCTCTCTAAACATCATTTCTAACATATTCTTGCATAGTTGCAAAGTGAGATTTCATGTTGTCTTTAAAACGGTGGACTATCTTAAAACATGTGGCCAATGCAGGATAGTTGCAATGTGTTTTTTTTGTAGTTTGGGTTTTCAAAACGTTTTATCTCTTGAACCGTCATCCAAATCACGAACCATTTTCACCATTGCGTTTCTCGCGTTGAGATTTTTCAAACTAGATCCCATGTTGATAGGTTTCGACGAACTTTTTTTCCAGGCGAATATGTGCTTCCAACTAGTAGTAACTTGTGCTTCACGCGGAAGTACATTTGTGCTTCACTTTGTGGTAACACAGTTTATCACACAACATAGTTGTGTTTCACACGGTAAAAAAATAAAACAAAAACAAACGACAAAAAACCGATGAGAAAAAAGAAAAAGAAAAAGGAAATCCATAAAAAATCACAGAAGCACATTATAGTTTGTGCTTCACCGTCAAGCACAACTGTGTTTTTCATGAGGAAGCGTAACTCTGCTTCACGAGCAAGCACGTACTTTTCACGAGCAAGCTAGGCCTAATAATCCTTAAAAAGTCATGCTCTAAGATTGTTTTGTTTATCTTTGACTGCACCGTCATCTCAGCCCTCCTCACCTGATTCCACTCTGCCCTTCTTCTCTCCAGCGGCAACCAACACTTTCCTTAGAGCAGCTCTAATAGGTGCCCTATTTAGGGCATCAAAGTTGGCTTGGAGCAAAATTTGCAACACCAAAATGTTCATCACCAATAAAAAATGATGCCCTAAAACTAGGGCTCCTGGTGGAGCAACATAGTGATGTAAAACACATGTTTTCTTGTGGTCTCGCATGGTCCCAGCTGCCCTAAAAAGTTCACTACAGCCACCCAAGTATATATTGCAACTGCACTATTCTTGGAGTGTTTTTTTTTTTGCATATAGGGCACCTATTGGTGCAGTGTTTTTGCCCCCTCGTGATGTAAAAAGTGAGTATGCCCTATTTTTTGGCAACTGTTGAAGATGCTCTTACACATGTTAACTCCTTAAAAAAAGAACAATCCGCCACCTGGACGTTCTCCCTACCCGCGGCTACCGCCAGTCACAAGATCACATCGCACCACATCACCTCTAAAACCCTTGGCCATTTCCTCGCATGTGGTATCTCTTAATCAAATGTTAAAACTACTTCACATTCACATCAATACTTCTAGAACAAAAAGTATATCTTATCAAATCGATTTCAGAAGAAAAGGAAATGCACAGATAAGCTTAAAGCAATCAATGAATCACCAAACTTTTTCTTGTTCTCAACCACCGTGATTCAACTCATCTACAAAAAGAATGTTAGTGATCCTTTAGACCCCTATACAGTCAAGCTAAAATTCTAACGGCTATGCTTTGCTCATTTGAAAAGGGTCACCTTTTCCATGTCGGTGCGACTGATCAATGAATTTCCAACCTAACTTGTCAAGAATACTTTGTATTGCTTGACTAGAGTGGTCAATGTACAAAAAGAAATATGTGGTCAACTGACTAATGTTCCTGGTAAAGAAAACAAAGGAATGTCTATCAAAGAATGGTTTCAGAAATTAGGCCTGCCCCACGTGACTGAAGGCATCTGCGGTCGACTAATCTGAAACACAAATAGAACCAAAGAACAAATTAGCAGGTTACAAAATAGCTGTCAATATCTACTAGTGATAAAAACGATGTGTATTTCTTCGAGAAAAGGCACTGCATATAGTTTAGATAACCAAGATAGCTGATGAGATCGTTAATCGTACCTATTGGACGCCTTTTACCCTCCATTGCTTTCTTCTTTTCATGACAGCTTTGGCAGAGGAAAGGGCCTTGCCAACCTTGCATTTTTTCCTGTTGCAGTGGGTTAGCATGTATGGAAATCCCCTGACCAGATTTCAGTCTAAACTGGCAAATCGCACAGCTGGAGGGTTCAAACATGTTCCGAAGTGCGTATCCTGTACTAAGCCTACAAGGAACAAGCAAAACAGAAAGCAAAATCATAATATGAAAAACTATTAGTACTTGTTACAAGCAAGACGTATTCACATTACAGCATGGAGTATCCGTTTAGTGAAATGCTTAGAATCACCTCGTAAACTTGAGCAAAGAAAATGCTAACTTCTATAACCCCAATAAGAATTTAACTATCAACTGTAGTTGCTAGTGCGTTCCTGTTTATCTCAGAGCTGAAGAGCTGCACTGCATTGATGTCAGTCTGAAACTGCAGCTGCATAACTAACAAGTAACCATCCCATCTAATATATGCACTCTGAATTTTAGTCATCTATTGAGCACTTTTAGCTTCACTGCTAAGCTAGCACGAGTGATTGATACTACGCTATGCCACTCATACACATCAACCATGTCTGTCTGGCTTGATCGAGGACATCAATATGTAGATGACCAGAGAAAAGAAGAGGGTTCAATGTAGTGGAGATTGGAAAAGGAAACAGCAGATAAATTGAGCATTAAAATGAAAATATGCAATGGAACATAAATGCGCTGCATGGCTGACACCATCAATCAGCAATGCCAACTCATCTGCTGTTTCCAGTAATTCAGTTCCTACTATCAGCAGACAGCAATATCAGCTTGTTGCCCATATGAGACAAGATATAGGTAACTGGAGAAGCTACAAATCCAAGACTAATAAGCCTACGTAGCTTTCAGTGGCATCTAATATGTTACAGATCTACAGTGCTATATTGATGCTTTTAAGGCCATCAAATCGAGAAAACTCAGGCCATCAGAATCACCAGACAAAAATGACGACTAATTAAAATATGATTTACCTGAGCATTCGGTTAATTTCAAGTTGGTGTATATACTAGTGTACATGTCTGACAACACAATGGACAATCCTAATGCTGTACAATGGAATATTTATGTTCTTTTCTCTTAGAACTGTTATCCAGCTCCTAGCTGGTACCCCAAGTGAAAAAAGGTCTAGAATGTTGGTTAACAGAATATACCTTCGTGAAAGCATGGCAGACCCGTCCTCAAATATTTCTTCCACCACATCCGGCTCAGCATATTCTCTATCTATTTTGAAAGATGCATCTGAATTTTTTCGGCGGAACATGTTATTTTTCAGATCAACGCGGAACATATTATTGAGCACGGTTTTTCCCTGCCACTTTGTTGGAGGACTAGGAGCTAGTTTTTCTGGAGGTAGTATGTCCACCACGATGCAGGTAGTATCATCTCGTAGTCCTCGAGGTAGGGTTGCTTCCTTCAGATAAGAAAATATATCACGAAATGAGGGGCCAGAAGTTTGAGTCTATTAACCAATGGAAATGATTGTAAATTAGTTACATTAACAATTCGATTGGCAGCTATATCGGATGGGTATCCACGAGAACATTCAAGAGCCATTTCAAAAGTCAAATCATCCCAGACACCATCACTTGCAATGATAATTCTGCCTCCAGCATTGGATAGCTGCAACAAAAATGCAATAGAAAATCAAAATAGTGTCACAGCAAAGAGCGAACTATGCTCTGCAGTGGTGAGACGTAGAATCACACCATGAACTACAGATGTTGTGGAATATTATAGAAGAGGTCATCTTAAAGGAAATCTGATGATAAATAGGCACCCAAACAAAAACATTTGTGAAAATAAAAAAGAGATATGTGGTGCAGAAGAATTTTCATATGAGCAAACCTTCACTTGCTTCACATGAGGAACAGGGATGATGCATTCACCAACATCCATATCCCCGATTGATCTAGATAGGCACAAACCACCTGGCCAGCATCTTAAAGGACCAACCTGAAAAGGTACATGATAAATTTCAATAACAGAAATGATTATAACAAGCAAAACAAACAGTGACCAGATTATCCAATAAAAGAGTAGATCAAACAAACATAAGAATTGAGTTAGACATTGATGATACAATGGATGTAAGATGAACATTCTCTAAATTAAACAAATTTGGAATACAAACACGGTAGAGTTTTACACGCATACCAAAGTATTCAATACTCATCAATCCCCACGCAAAATACAGAGAGGGAACAACAACAGGAGTTGTTAAATAAAATCTGCAGGGTGCAGCCAAAAATAGGAATTACCTTATGGCTGAAAAACCAGCAGCACAAGAAATTTAGTCCATCATATCATAAGCTAAGATATTGTTTGGTAGGCACTTAATTTAACAGTGATGTCAGGTGCACGTACAACACAACATATTTGAGAATTAAGAAACAGATGGTTAGCAGGTTACTGCAGAAAATGAGAACTATCAGATTGGTAACATGTAACACCATGCATCCACACCGCAAATCCCAACTCAAGAGCACAACAGATTAAAGGTAAAGAGACGAACCTCTGGACCACCAACTACATTCAGTTTTCCAACCTTGCTTCCCCATGCAGTTACACGTTCCACCCTGTAAAATGAACAGGTCAGGAACTGCACAGTTCTCAACAAATTACCTCAAAGGCAGAACTTACTCATCTCGGTTGGAGTCGAAGCGATGATCAGCTGACAAATGGTATAGTGAACCATCAGCTGACTCTAGTATGCAGCGCGAATCACCGACTGATGCTACTGTTACAACCCACTCGTCTATTATCACAAATGTCACAGTTGTACCAGAACTTTCAGCTGAAACAGCAAAAAGACTGTTTCAGAAGATAATAGAGATGCATCACTTGAGGTGTTAAGGAAGACAAATTAAACAAAAACACGATTGTCTCAACCACGCGGCCTAGCACTACAGTTAACTCAAGAACATATCTGATGGTGTAAATATCTAATCAACCAACTAGAATGACTATGAATGGTTCATACAGCTTTACTTCGTCCTTGACAACAAACAAAGTGCTAAGTCCCTGCTTGGAACACATGAATTCCACAGGATGACAGGAATAGTTCGATTGCCATAAGGATCAGGAACATTTCCAAGTTCACAAGATGGCCTAAATAAACAGTAACAGCATGTGCACTAACGAACAGTCATATGAAAAACTACAGTGTATGCCTATTTTCTCAAGGAACTGGAAACTTTACATCAACAAGGTAAACAAGGATAGGCCTGATTTACCTGCTGCTTGCAAATCTTTATCTGTCTTGACAAATGCTGCAACGAGTGAACGTGGGAGCACTGCAAGCCACTCATCCCTGGTCAAACCTGAAGGGGTAGCACGCAGGACATTGTTCAGCAGATTGTTCTTCGCGTATATGGCCGCTCCAGATCCATGGTGGCCATCAAACAGCTATAAACATGTGAGACAGTAATCAGTGGTCAGTGATCAATCAACAGAAACACACCACCCCGATTAAAAAATGACCAGCCAGGCCACTAAATAAATCAAATGATGGCACCGGTCAACCTGACAATAAGATTAAGACACGAGATCATTTGGATCAAAGGTAATATTTCGTTCCTAGTATGTTTTTTACTACAAGTAATTTTTCATACGTAGCAGGCTCCCAACACTCTTTCTTGGTCATGAACTAGCAGCCTACGTGCAGACGACCAACAAATATTCTGAACCCTACCAAAAAGGCATGGCAGCTCCGCCAAACGCGACAGAGAAAAACATGCTGGGTGGGTGTCAATCATGTACAGGAGGCTGAAGGAGTGGCCTCCATGTCGCACAGTTCCGGGCGGGTATTCTAGAACCTTCTGTCTCTTTTCTTCCCGGGTATTCTAGAACCTTCTCGAGAGACAGGCATGGGCATGGG